TGCGAATAATCACAATGGTGTGTTGCAGGAAGCGATTGCACGGGAGCCCATACAGCCGCTGCTGATTCCCTCGGCGTTGTGACGCGGGTGGCGCTCCATGCCACTGGTGAATTCCATTCAACACCAAGAAATGCCGGCGCTGTATGGGCACTTACACAATCTCTGTATGTTATATACTAAACCCCCTGTGCCCTAAAGGGGCCGCCTTCGGGCGTACAGGCGACCTGACCTGACCTGACCTTATATACTATGAACCCTTGATATTATAACCACTCACATACGTTTTACGTCCATCCCGGTGCGGCCAATGGCTGCAAGCGTGCACGGGGGAGCCATGCTGCTCACAGAAACGGATCCAAAGAAAAACAAAAACACCAAAAACAAGCGCTAGTGTAAAACCATTTTCCACAGCTGAAAAGCGTGCCGCCTCATTTAACGACGACTGCATTTAGCTTTTTTCGCCGACGTCAGGGCATTCAGGGACTGGAGACCAAGCCGAAAACCACCATTGAAAGGCCCGACGTCCTGGCAACCATGCGTGGGGGTAACAAGGGCGCATGCGGTGGCCAAAAAAAATTAGGGCCGATCACCGCTGACAACGGCTCGGCATTGCACCGCAAACAGCAATTCGTGGAGGGCAGTACCGGCTTTGTTTACCGGTCCACGGCAGCAACGCAATTTTTTTCCCACAAATTTGGAAAAAAATCAAGCTGTGGAAACGGTGATTCTAGCCGTCTAGCCCGCTTCGACCCACATACGGTGGCCAAAAGATGCCAAAGGCAAAGGGCTGACACATGCCAGCGGCGCAAAGGCGTAATGCAAGGGTGCTTTACGTTGCCTCGCATCGAACAGGCGCCACACCTGTCAGGAAAAAAAAACGCGTGCAGTGAGTTGCCTCTTCCAACGGCCGAGGCCCTCAACCGGCAGCAGCACTAGAATGTGGTCGCCCCTGGGGGGAAGCGGCAAAAGCATGCAAAAGCAAACAGCGAAACAGCAACCCGAAATATTGCGACTGAATCTGCTGCGCATGTGGGGTAAGCAGAGCTGTGAGCACCCAAGCAGCGGACGTGGCACGGGCCTGGCTTCCGGGTCGACGGCTTTGTTCCCTTTGAGGAACCAGACGCCGGCAAAATTGAAACGCACATCGTGCACGTTTCGCTTGTGCGAAGTTTGTTACGTTTCGATACTTGACATGGTCGGGGGGATTTGGCAGCATATGTGACATGCAGCGGGGGAACATGAAATAGTTCGCTGTTGTGTAATGCGTGTTTTTCATGTTTTATAGATGATTCAGTGTGGTTCCTGCCCCTACGCCGTCACGATGGCAACTCACAAGATTTTGCTGCCAATGCATGTCACGCCCGCATCGAATACACATTGACATGGCAGCCAATGTGCTTTCTGCTGCTTGGCCTGCCCACCAATACAAGGCGCCGAGAGCACCGGTGAGCATTGGAGGTCCAAACGGCGCTGAATGTGCGACCCTTCACACCGACCGCCGAAATGGCTGTGAGAGATAGCCGGCCGAGTTGCTGACGCCAGGCACAGTAAGCGAGGAAACGCTGCGGGTATGTACAAGTTGTTGTTAGACGACATGCGCCGCCAGGGATACACGTGCGCAAAGGTGAAAGGGTCGCCCAGTTTTTTTCCCCTTTCCAGACCTAAGCCCCTGCGCAAACCACAATGTGGCGTGCGGCCTCGTTTCGCGAGTGCTCGCACGGGCATGGGCGGAAGCGCCGTGTGTTGCCTTCTGCTTGCATGCAGCACGCCCAGGAAAACACGCAGCTGTGGTGGGATGATGCTGGTCATATCCGGTCATGTTCATGACACCAGTATGACACCCGTCGGTTTGAAGGGGTCGACCATGGGGAAAACTGGGGCGGCGCCCTCGCCGTGGCCCACGTTCGATCACGTTCGTCTGCAACGTGGTTTGTTTTTTGCTTCGGACTTTTCCTCGCAGCCGTTTGCCTTGTTTGGCTGAAGCGCCGCCTCAAGCCCGCAGCGGGATGCCAGTGGCGGCTCCGCGGAGTTGTTCGATGAGGGCATGCGTCCCCACTGGTTCGCCCTGCAAATCCTGGCAAAGACCGATTGCCTGAATTTTGCAGCCAACTGTCGAGTCTGACCACTGCGGTGCAGGTTTCGCTGGATCAGCCACACAGTTTTGCTTAGCAGACCCAGGCTGATGGCGCCGTCCATGTTGCCTCGTGCTTGCATGCAAGACGCTCAGGAAAACACGCAGCTGTTCACGACATCCGTCGGTTTGAAAAGGTCGAACAGGGGGACCCTTGGCGCCAGCGCCCCATGCAACCGGCCAGCATGTTGCCCTCGCCGTGGCCCACGTTCGAAAACGTTCTTCTGCCACTTGATGATGTATTCGCGGCCCCTTTGGATGATTTGTACATAATCAGTTGCCTTGCACGGGCCTGTGGTGCATTGTTTCAGTTGTTGTTGAGCATGGTGTTGGCGACTCTGCTCCTGTCGGCAAATCGTGCTTCCAACGAGCGGGAGGAAAATGCCGGTTGGGATCGCACAGCTGGGGGAGGAAGTTTGGCATAGCGACTCGCCTGCTGAGCAGGGCTTGGCTGCGCTTGGCATCCCGAGAAGCCACGCGGCATTCGTAGTGGCTCTCAAGCAGCGCGGAGTGCTTGCACGAAGAACAAGATCTGCCCCAGGCTTTTGCGCAGCCTGCCACACTTTCACCATGCGCGCAACACGGGCTGGAAGGGGTATGGAAACGTGGTGGCGGGAATCATCCAACAAGGCTGTGACGCATCGGGCATGTTCAACCCGACGGAGAGGTGCAAAATATGCGGTTTCGGGCAGCAATGGCATCAGGGCTGGCACAGAACGCAAAAGAAGCTGTAAGCCTTCGCTGCGGTTCCCCAGTCCCGCGGCGTAGTCAAGTTGGTGCGTGGTTGTTCATACAAGATATTGGCCAAATTCATTCACACCCGCGTCGCCCCTTTGGTGGATGCAAACCAATGTTGTGACCAAGCTGGATTTTGACCAAAAATTGGTGTGGACGACGTGTTTGTTAGCTTTGACCCCATATATTGCAAATGCTTTGAATGGAATGAACCTGTATGGATCAGCAGCTTGGATCTGCGAAAAGCTTTTGACAAAATTGAGTTTGATTCCTTGTTTGCCGCACTTTTTCATCAAAATTTCCCGCCCCAGAATGGACATTTCAGAGACGGTTCTAGATTCATGCAATTCAGCGTGGTGTCAAACAAGGCGACGTGTCGAGCCCGACTTTGCTCAAGGCAGGTTTGGAACATGTTTTCGGAGCTGGAAAGCCGAGCTGTCTACACAAGGCTTGCATGTCGGCGTCCCAGAAAGGGTGAAAAAACGTGAGATATGCGGATGACACCATTATGCATGCCACGACAGCAGACGAATTAATTTTCATGATGAACGCGCTCGTGAAACAATTGTGCAATTTCGGATTGCATCTAAACCCTCTGAAAAGTAAGATTTTGACGACTGTGGATGTTGGCACCACGTTGTATTTGGACATCGCAGGCAACATCTCATATGTTCTCATTCACGCGGATGTTCACATATATCCGGGCACACAAGTAAGTGGCAACCTGTCTCAACGACATTGAGTTGCGCCACAAGCTTAGTGTGGCATGGTACAAATTTCAGTGGCATCGCAAAATGCTCATCAACAAACACGTATCCATAAAGCTTCGCCTGAAACTGTTTGACGCAGTCGTGACTCCAACTATTCTGTATGGCTTGCACAAGCTCCGCTAACCCATTTTCAGCTTCAAAAGTTGGATGCGTTGCAAAGACAGATGCTCAGATCAATCGTTGGTTGGGTCCGCGTGGGAGACGAGCCATTGCACATGACCATGCGCCGCATGAAGCTGCAGGCGAATACAGCCCTCTCCACCCCTTGAATCCTTGGACCAAACGATTAGCTCTTCGGCAACATGGCTTTGTCCCCCATGCCGTCGAAACATGTGGTTGGTCTATGCGCATTTGTGGACGGCACCTGGAAGCAGACTGGCAGCATAATGCTCGCCGTCCTGGTCGTCCCCCTGACGCGATGGGATGATAGATAGACCATGATAGACCCCGTGCTTTTTATAAACGACATTTCCTAACGTACCTTGCTGACCCAAGTGACAGCTTTGGCGTTTGAACGCGGGGGTTGTCTGTTGCATTTGCTGCCATCCCCCCCATGTCCTCCTAGGACCGTGGTCTTGGCAATGCCGTTTCACTTGGACCCGAACGGGCGTAAGCGAAAGCGTGGCTGTTTTTGGCCAGTGGTTGTGTCGGTCATGGTCCAGGGAGGTGTTTAAGTATGATTGGCTTGCGCAGCCGTACGAAACTCGTTGTTTGCATGCCCACGTGCTCGCGAAACGTCGGGGGAAGATGGAACGTTGCCAGCGGTTGGGCATGCTGCTGGTGGGGCATGCGTGCTGTTGCTGTCCAAGGCTTTTGGATGGGCGAGGATGGCCCGTGTCCCGTGCGGAATGGTGCTATATGATATTCTTGTTGCATGGTGCCGGGATGATCTGCCAAAGGCCGACAAGCATCATTTGTCCGCGAAAGCAAACATGTCAAACATCATTGGTCAAAAGGTTCTGAGGGGCCAGCGTGTGTTGTATCCAAACGTGTGTGTCTGGAACGCAAGGGCAACTTGGGCATTCACCACTGTAGCTGTTGCAGGCGCACGGCCAGTTTGAGAAAAACGGTTGCAGTGTGCTATGTTTTTCGTGCCATGTTTCCGGCCCTTGACCTTGAGTTACCCTGGTTGTCACGTAATTCATGATTGCCATTATGGTGCGTAAAGAACTTTTGCATGCTAGGAGCACGATGTTGGCATGTGATGGTACATATGAGCACGCATGGGGCAGTGTCAAAATATGGTTTGATGAAAGCTGACCCGCAGCAAACAAATACCAGATGGCATGGCGAAGCCACAGCTAGCAGTCATAGAGCGCCAGCCTCAGGAGCGAGGCGTTGAGACCTGCACGCCATCCGAATGTATGAAGCATTGCAACACATGGCAATATGGCAAGCTGTTTTGGTTCCGAGCTTTGCTGAGGTGTGCAAGCCCTTGGTTGGACGAAGGTGTGCCGGAGGCAGCGCGGATGCAAGGAGATGCATGTTGCGTTGTGCGGCATGTGGCGCCCGCTCCTTGCCATGGACGATAATGCTGTTGCAACGTTGCCGACGTGTTTGTTTGCACGTGTATTGTTGCAATCGCGGGTGACAGGTGGGCCAGCGTGTGGTCTATTGCAGCGACTATGGTTTGGCTGGTGTCGTGAAATTTGTGGGGGCCACAGAATTTTCCGACGGCCACGATTGGGTCGGCTCCTGGGCAGCATAACCTGGACATGTTTGAATTTGGCGGTGTTCATTGCCAGGCCGCATTTCACATGTTTGCGTGCAAGGAGTTAAGTAGTAAGAACCGGACATAATCACAAGTTTGTGCGAGGCATCATGCTGGACAAACCACGTGGCAAAAATGACGGCAGAGTGCTGCGGCAGCAGCAAATGTGGGTTCACGGGCAGGAGTTTTGGAAGTAGCCATGACGTGGGCCTGTTGTTTTGATTTGGTGAGGTCAAGGACAAGCAATACTTTACATGTCCGCCGAATCACGGGCTGTTTATGCGGGCGAAGGCCTTGCATGCGTTCGGCAGCACAGCAGCCGCGCATAACAAATGTTGTTTGCGTTGCAGGTGCTTCTGCCAGAAGAAGCGGTCCCGGACCGCGCGGAACAATCGCAGGAGCATCCGGATTCAAACCAAGCTATTAGACATTTGCAAGTTCGATTGGGCTTACTACCAGCTAGCTTTTGCAAGTAGTTGTTTGACACCGAGTATTTCTCCTGCTTTGTCATAGGGGCTCTAGGGAAAAGAGGGCACAATCAAAACCCAGGCCCAAGGCTGAGCCTTCCCGGCGACGGGGCCGTGGGCGAATTGACCGAGCCATAATTGCAAGATGAGTGTGCCGGAGTTGCAAGGTTCCAATTCCGAACATATCGCAGGAGGTATACTTTGATGATTTGAGATGAAACTGTCGTGGTGCTGGTTGTGCTGGTGTGCTGGTTGTGCTGACTCTGGTGGTTGAGGGATGGTGGTGGTGGTGGTGGTGG